CCTGAACTCGATCCCTAAACCCTATAATGGGTTTAGGGTTTAGTGTTAAATTCAAATGGAAACTACTATAATAGTGTATACATTGACCCCCAAATCCTAGAATATCCCATAATGTCTCCATAATGGCCCCATATAGCCCCTATATCCCCCTTAAAGGCATCCTCTCCGCGGAGTAGACCTGAACCCAATATGGGGGTTAAATAGGGATCATAGGGTATATATATATATATACATACATATATATATTAGAGTTACATGGAAACTACTATAATGAGATGTATATATGGGGGGTTATATTGGGGTTGTATCGGAAGAACTCAATGCGAGATTGGAATTTGGGCATTGTGGTTTGGGGTGTCGCCTTCGGGATTTACGGTTGAGGTGGGGGTTTTAGGTTTGGGTGCAAGGCTTCATGCTGTATAGGGTTGAGGTACACCTCAAATCCGCAAACCCTACGCCCCAACGCCCACCCGTCTAGACCTTACACCCCATGCTCTACACCCAAAGACTTTTTGAGGATGTAGGGTTCAGTGTGGATCCTGGGGGAATATGGACGTTATAACCGAGTTGATGTCATGACGACAACGGAATAGAGCCAAGTTTTTGTCCCGTGCAAACAAGGCCACTGAATAGAGCAATACCAACAAGCCCTGACGGAAGCAAGGCCCCATGGAACCCCCTCTAAGACCCCGTATACTCCCCCTTACCGACCCCAATCCCAGCGCTGGTCAAAAGAGCCTCGTATGACAGCTTCCGAGAAGCATCTTTAATTGGCTGCACACCCCAACAGCCGAGGTGGACACACGACGGCACTTATTGCTTATATGGACTATGAAGGTTAAGTGAAGAATCGCTTGGCATGTTACATGCCTTACTTGCGGCAACTACAGATTTGGCCATGGATGATGGTGCCTCCGGAAAGTTGCTGTGGGGGTTTTCACACATGAAAGGTCGTTTCTTCAGGATGCCTGTGTTTGGGGCACAATGGCGGGGGAATTTCTCGATGTACTGATGTGGGGTGTCTAGACGCTCTGACATTTAGCTAATAGCACATGAGCTATAGTCTAAACCCGTAGTATCCCCTTCATGACCCCTATAATACACCCCTGTAATATAGCCTCCTTTTAAGGAACTTAGACTATAGCTCACGACATGAAGACACGTATCCCTGGAAAGTGTCGATATACTCGTTCGTCACTGCATTGAGGTCATGGGGCCTGTTGTCCATGACCTAAACCTTCAGTACTCCCCCCCCTCAGTCACAGTTGGATAATAATTATAATATGGTTATATATAGCCCTTAATAGGACCCCTAATGTAGACTGTTATTGGGAGGGGGCAGTACCCAACCTAAACCTTAAACCCCTGCAGGCCAGCGTCTTTAGAATCGTTGTCTGCAGCTGGCTTTCCCTAAAAGCCCAAACCCTACATCCAGGAATCCCGAACCCCTAATTGCTTTTTTTTTTTCTTCCGCAGCTCCTTTTCAGGCTAATCTTATGCTTTAGGGTTCAGGGCTTGGGGTCTAAGGCTTAGAGTTTCAGATCCTGAGCCCGAATCCGCGCGGCCCTAAAGCAGTTGCAAACGACAGACCTTGAACCGAGAACCTCCGAGCCCTTTCAAACCCAAACCTGGGCTTAGGGTTTTGTTGGGATAATGGAAATTTAAATGGAAACCATAATTATACTGGGTTATATAGGGACTATAGCGTATATGCTGGGATTATATTGGGAGAATGGAAAGTAAATTGGAAACTACTATAGTATATTGGGATCATCGTGGTATAATGGAAAAGAAAATGGAAACTACTACTCAGGGGGTGAAAAAAAGGTTCTAGACCCTAAACCCTGAACCTTATGGAAGACCCAGCCAGCGTACTGTAGAAGCATGAAGAACACAAGAGCTAAAAAGCGACACTGGCATTGAAACCGGGATTATATACGAGTTACTGTTATCTCCAAAAGCACTTGTGCCAGATTGTTTGTATGGTTCAATCTGATACAGAGTACCTCAACCACCTCAAAATGATGTTTTCGTAATCGTTTAGGACAATCCTTATAAGTCCCTACATAGACCAGTTTACAAGTTCTATGCTTTTCCTATTTGATTCGCCCTATTCTTGGGGTCATTAAGCCTAAATCCAAAACCCTAAACCCACAGCATTGAGCGCCAGGCGGGCAAACTACCAAGCAACATCCAGGCCTCAGAACCCAGACAGTTTGGGGCTTTGAGGTTTCGGACTTGGGCTACATTGCCTGGAGATTTAGACAGAGACCGCATTGTAATAGGAAACTTCTACAGGAACCAGTATTATGCTGAACTTAGGGACAACCCCCGCGCACTTAAGGTTTAGGTTTGCGGTTTTGATGTGTACAAGACCCTCCCAAACTTGACATTAAACCCCACGTTGACACCTGTTGGAAAGAGTGTAGTCTGTAATGGCGTTTTTGGGCGGGGTCCATGCTAGTTTGGGGGAGGGTAAGATTTCAGGATTCGGGTCTACATGGCTCATGAGTTTTGCTTAAGCGTGGGGTCCCTTCTTGAACCAACACATCTCAAGGATTGCTTTCAGACAGCGATTGCGAGAAAAATGAAGTTCAGAAGCCCGCTAAAATTCCTGCAGTTGTTGTATTTAACCCTAAACTAAACATTAGACAAAGTCCCTCAGCATGCCCCGAACAAAGTTTATCTTATCATTGGATAGCTGGGAATGAAGGAATGGAAAAGACCATGAAAACTACTACAATGGGTTATATAGGCACTGCCAGAATGATCCAGTCCTTCACTCATAGCTAATCACAGGTAAGTTATGAGAATGTCCCTGAGCCATATAACACTACCAGGGCCTCAAGAATTGCCAGTATCATGTTGAGGTAATTTGGGGTACCCTGTACTACGTATGCATAGCCATATCAGGAATCTGGGACCACCATTCTTGGTAACTATTCCTAAAGGCATCTACATGAAGAAGTGTATAAATATAAGCACCCCATGGAAAACGTAGTTTCCATTTCATAACGCATGTCCTTTTCTATTTCATTTCCCGTTACTGGTACGTGTATGGACCCCTAAACCCGCAGAGGCAAACTAATAAGAAGGGTACCCTTTTCCTAATGTTCAGCTCTAATAATGACACCCCAGGGTAAAAAGGGAAAAGGGTACTATTGGGGTTTAAGCTAATCTCTACGTACCCCCAATTTTCACCTCTGTAGAGTCCTGCAGAAGGACAATGAATGAAGAAAAACCTGAACTGGATGTGTGAGGCCTCAGGTGGAAAGTAGGCAGTTTAGAGTCTAGGGTTTAGGCTTTTGGGGTTTAGGCTTTAGAATTTAGGGTCCCGTGTAACGGCGACACGGGGCGTTGGAAGGCAGATATGGCAAGCGTAAGATTTCTGAAGCTCTTTTCAGTATTTAACAGGCTATGTACATATGTACATACGCACATGTACACATCGGTGTTTATGTATATATACACACATACGTGCTACGCATCTGTAGAATAGTTGTCTTACTATGTCAGATCTAGGTCCCTCTCAGGCCTCCAAATTTCAACACAGAATCTGGCAAAAGGTAAAAGTGGTATCATTATGCACGTTTTCCCCGGCTGCACATGGACTAGTTTGGGAGGCTCCAGAGTCGTGTACGGCTTTGGGTTTAGGGACCTCTACAAGGTTCCTCTAATATGACCCCCATACAGCCCTACCTAAACCCTAAACCCCGACATCCTAAACCCTGAACCCTAAGATGAACTGATGCTGCATGTGCCTACACGCACCCTGCTTTCAGGTCTTGGTTTCTTGGTTTTGATGCAGTAATTCCAAGGCTTATATAGATTTCTAACATGAGCTATAATCGAAACTCCTAGCATCCCCTTTAATAATACTAATAATAATAATAAGCCAATCTAGACCACCTAGCTTTATCCCACCTTTTCAGTCAACTTTTGAGCCCCCTGACACAGGCCCTGCAACAGAAAAAGTGCGTCAACACTCTTTTCAGCATGTCCCCATCGGTTCGCTGGCAATCCCAAGTCCGCAACGTTTTCTGGGCAGTTTGATTTCTACTGGCGCACAGGTGACTTGCTTCGGCGCGTTCCACTTTCCTTTCCAAAGCGCAGGAACCACTTGCGGGAACCACTTGCAGGAACAACTTGCAGGAACCACTTGCAGGAACCACTTGCAGGAGCCATTTGCAGGAACCACTTGCAGGAACCACTTGCAGGAACAACTTGCAGGAACCATTTGCAGGAGCCATTTGCAGGAACCACTTGCAGGAACCACTTGCTGGAACCATTTGCAGAAACAACTTGCAGGAACCCCTTGCAAGTACCCCTTGCAGGAACCACTTGCGGGAACCACTTGCGGGAACCACT